ATCTAGAAGTAAGAGACAATGAGAAGATGAAGATGAGGGATAGAGCAGCAACTTGAGCTGCACTTCTAGGTGGCAAGGTGTTTGAAATAAGTTCTTAATGAAGCTACTATCTTGGAATATGAGAAGGTTAGGAAAGCTTGGTAAAAGAAATAAAACCAAACAGTTTTTTCTTGAGAGAAAAATGGAAATGGTGCTATTACAGGAAACAAAGAAGTCATTAATAAATGAGGAGTGTGTGAGATCAATTTGGCCTAGAGACAAGATGGAGTTCATGGAAGTGGATTCAGATGGTACAGCTAGTGGCTTATTATGCATCTAGAATCTACATGTTTTTCAATTATTGGATTATTGCTGCAACAAGAATTTTATAATTTTGAATGTGTCATTGTTAGTATCTGTGGCCCAAATGACAATACTAATAGGAGAAAGGTGTGGGGGTATTTTGACTATATTAAATCAACTCTATAAAAAACCTTTGAGAGGAGATTTTAATGAAATTAGATGTATAGATGAGAGGAAGGGTTGCTCTAGGAGAGATAGGGGTATGAGAGATTTCAATGTGCTAATTGAGAAGCTAGAACTGTCTGACATCCCAATGATGGGTAGAAAGTTCACCTGGTGTAATTCGTAACCAAGGGAGAAGTGGAGTAGGATTGACAGGTTTCTGCTCAGTCCAGAACGGATGCATAAGTTCAATTTCAAAGTATGGGGACTACCAAGAAGAGTATCAGACCACTGTCCTATTTTTCTCATGGAAGATAAAAGGGATTGGGGTCCAAAGCCATTTAGATTCCTTAATACATGGACCTTGTATCCTAATTTCATTGCTTTTGTGGAGAAAACTTGGGCTGAAACTATTGAGGTGGGTTGGGCAGGCTTTAAGTGCCTAAGAAAACTCAAAGCTCTTAAACTAGCATTGAAACAATAGAATAATGAAGTATTTGGAAATGTGGAATTCAAACTAAAGCTTCTTGAAGAGGAATTTCATTTGCTAGACTTGCCAGTTGAAGAAAGATCACTGGATGACTCAAAGTTAGCTAGAAGAAGGGTGGCGTAAAGGGGAAGTTTGGAAATTGTATAGAATGGTGGAATGGTTATGGGCTCAAAAGTCTAGAGTTAACTGGGCATTAAAAGAAGACAAGAACACAAAGTTTTTCCATGTTATGGCTGCTTGTAGAAATAATAGGAATGCACTTTGTTCAATTACTGTTAATGGGGTTATCAAGAAAGAACCTGAAGATATAAGGGCTGAAGTTCTGCGACATTTCAGGAACCATTCACTGTATCTTGGTTAAGTAGGCCAAGCTTATCTGGGCCTTTTAAATCCATTGGGGGATCTGAGGCCATTGAAGCACTTGAAGCTGAGGTTTTAGAAGTTGAAATTTTTGCAGCCATAAAGAACTTGTGAAGAGAACAAGGCACCAAGACCTGATGGTTTCAATTTGTTGATGTTTAAAAATGATAGCAAACAATTAAGGGTGATGTGTCTCATTTTATGAAGGAATTCCATCAAAATGCTAAGTTGGTCCATGGAATTAATAGCTCTCTTGTTGCTATAATTCCTAAAAATGATAATCCTTCTTGCCTTGATGAGTATAGGCCTATCAGTCTTGTAGGCTCTTTGTACAAATTTCTTACAAAAGTGTTATCTAGCAGGATAAAAAAAGTAATGGCAAGAATTATTAGTGAGACCCAATTATCATTCATAGCTAATGAAATAGTTGATGGTTGGAAAAGGAAGAAGAAGAAAGGCATTGTCTTAAACTTGACTTCAAGAAAGCCCGTGATTCAATTAATTGGGATTTTCTTTTCTCTATGCTATCAAATTTTGGGTTTGGTGCTAAGTGGATTAGTTGGATGAGAGAATGTGTATCTTTAACCAAGGTCTCTATCTTGGTTATAGATCTCCAACTTCTGAGTTCAGTCCTCAGAGAGGACTTAGACAAGGTGATCTTTTATCTCCTTTTCTTTTTAACATTATGGCTAAGGGTCTTAACATTCTTTTGGCTAGAGCTCTGCAGATGGGTTTGATTAAAGGGGCAGTTGTAGGTTCAAATGATCTCAAGATCACTCATCTCCAATTTGCAAACGACACAATAATATTTTGTGTTGCAGAATGAAAGGAGATTGTTAACATCAAAAGGATTTTGAGATGCTTTGAATTATTGTTAGGGCTAAAGATTAATTACCACAAGAGTGTGGTTTGTGGTATTAGGATTAATGATGAAATTACTCAAGATTTTTTGCTGCCAAACTGAACTATGTACATCAAAGCTTACCACTAAAATACTTCGGGCTACCTCTGGGAGCTAGTCCAAGGAGAAAAAGCACTTAGCAACCAGTGATTGACAAATTCAAACAAAGTTGGCTTCTTGGAATAAGAGATACTTATCCTTTGCAGGTAGGCTGACATTGATAAAATCGATGTTATCTAGTTTACTGATATATTATCTATCTTTGTTTAAGATGCCGGAAGGGGTTGCAAATGAGCTTGATAGAATCCAATCTAGCTTCCTATAGGGAGGTAATGAACTTTGAAAGAAAATACATTTGGTCAAATGGGATGAGATTTAATGAAGTAAAAGTCAATGGGGTTTAGGAATTAGAAGGGTTAGACTATTAAATGATTGTCTTTTGTTGAAGTGGTGGTGGAGATTTGGGGCGGAAGATAATACTCTTTGGAAGTAGGTGATTTGCAGCAAATATAGAGAGGTTAGAAAGGGCTGGTGGCCATTACATGTTGACAATCTGAGGATTTCTTTGATCTGGAAAGCTATTCTGGGTGTTGCTTGCAATAATCCTGAATTGGTAGAGGTTTTTAAAAGCAATACAAGTCTCGTTATTGGAAATGGGAGGAAAATTCAATTCTGGTTAGACAAATATGTTGGCAACGCTTGTTTAAAAGATGTTTTTCCTAGACTATACTCTCTGTCTATGGGTAAAACTGAATCTGTGGAAGTGGTGTATAGCAAGAGAAATGGTAACGAGGAGTGGAGTCTTATTTTCAAAAGACGTCTTTTTCAGTGTGAGGTGGAGGAGTTGAGAGGCTGAATGTGTTGTTACTCAATGCACCTGTCCTTACGGAAGGGTTGATTGATAGCTTGAGGTGGAATGCAAATTCGTTAGGTTCTTTCACTGTTGTCTCAGCCTATAAATGGTGTCTACTGTCTTTTGAAACCAATAACAGAATTGTTGAGTTCATTTGGAAGAATGTACCTCCTTCTAAAGCTCTTTTTTTTGGGTGGCTAGCTTGGAAATTAAGGATTAAGTCATCTAGCTATCTTCAAAGAATTGGTGTCCTCAGTGGTTCAGCAAACGTAAATTGTATTTTATGTAATGCTGATGTGGAGAGTGTCAATCATGTGCTATTGTTTTGCCCTTTTGTCTAGAAAATCTGGTCCAATATTATCTATTGATGGGGCTTAAATTGGGCAATGCCTGGGTTTGTAAGTAGTCTTTTTCATTGGTGGGCTGGTGTTAAGCTCAAAAAGTAAGAGAAGTTGATTTGGAAAGCAATCTTGTTGGCTATGCTCTAGTCTATTTGGAAACAAATAAATGATAGCATTTTTAATGGAGCACAGTTGGATTTTGAAGGGTTGTGTGATTCTATCAAGCTTAGGATTGCAATGTAGGTCAAAACCTTAAGCCCCTCCTTGAAGTACTCAGTGAGTGATAGTATTTATAATTTACAACAAGTTAAACTCTGCATATAGGATGTTAGTTGAGTTGTTGTTGAGCTACTGTTAGGTGTGGCTGCTGCTGGTTTGAATTTTGGGTATGTTCTGTTGCTGTGTATGGATACTGCTGTTTGTTCCTTTATCTTGTTATGTTGTTTGTTATGTGACTACCTCATGTCCCTCCTTCAAGTACTTGAGTGTCATTATGTATAAGCTACAACAAGTTAAACTCTACATATACGTCATGTTTGTTTGGGCGGACTGGATTAGCATTCCCATGACTAATAGTCCTAGGACTACGAATCCGTTGGATTATGTATCCTATCTTAACTAATAGTCAAGTTTAAGATAATTAGTCCGTATTTCAATTGTTTAACCAAACATCAGATTAATAATTTTGTTGGACTATTAGTCCAATCCCAAACTCATGTCCACCCAAACAAACATGACCATAGGGTGTTAGTTGAGTTGTTGAGCTGCTGTTGGGTGTGGCTGCTGCTGGTTTGAATTTTTGGTGTGTTCTATTGCTGTGTGTGGCAGCTGCTGTTTGTTCCTTTATCTTGTTATGCTATTTGTTGTGTGACTACCTCATGTCCCTCCTTTAAGTACTTGAGTGTCATTATGTATAAGCTACAACAAGTTAAACTCTACATATAGGGTGTGGCTATTGCTGCTTTGAATATTGGGTGTGGCCTGTTGGTTGTGTGGCACTGCTGCTTTGTTTCTCTGTTTTGTTCAGCTAGTGTTGGTTCCTCACCAATATTGTGCTTTGTTCCTATATTTCTTTCTTTCTTCTTTCCTCTTTATTGATATAATTTTATATGAAATGTATGTTTTCTTCATCAATAAAGATTTTGTTTTGTTGATCAAAAATAAAATATATTTTTAAGCATAAAATTATAAACTTCATCAATTTAGTAACTTAAGTTCAACCAACTCAGTGATCATTTTTTATTAAAAATCCTAACGGCTTTATCAATTAGACTAAATTGATACAAAATATAAAATTAAGAGTCAAAATTGAATCAATTTCAATTGTAAAAATCAAAATGACACAAACAACAAGAACTACTAAAGTCTCATTTGGAAATAAGTTATTTTACTAATTTTTCGACTTTTCATGAAAATATGTGCAAAAAATAGATAGTGATGTGACAACTTATAATGAGTTTTTGACTTTTTAGCTAAAAAAGTTACTCCCAAACGAGGCCTAAGTTTAAACTTAGGCATCCATTGTATTTTTATAGATTATAGTGTGATATATTTTGTGTTCTTAACACTACTTGTATATTGAAACAACACACAGAGAGAGAATGCAGAGAGACAGAATGAAGTTTCACAATCATTTCTCAAACTAGTAGTGTACGTACATGCATGATTTGGCAAAGAATCAGGCATCTGAAGAAGATGAACTATAAGCTACTGTTTCTCGATTTCTAATAAAGATAAAAAGGACTAGAAGAAGTAGAAGAAGAAAATGATAGAGGAGAGGTAAGAGTGTGAGCAGTGGTAGTACTGGAAGAAGATTGCTCATGATTAAAAGAAGAAGATGAACATGAACATGAAGAAGCAAAAGCAGGACCAAGCAACAAATCAACAAAAGCTCCAACTATATACCCATGATTGTTCTTTCCATTGACCCTCAAATAACAGCTCAGGAGCTCTTCAAGGCATTCCCAATCCTTCAACCCATGAGCCTCCACCATTTCTTTCATTGACCTCTTGAAGTCCATGTAAGGCTCCTTAGAATCCATTGCCATAACCACAGTACTCTCTTTGAATGGAAACCCATTTGTCTTCGCCTCCTCTAGTATCGAACTCGTCTCTCCCAGCTCGAAAAACAGCCTCTCTGGCGTCTCTGCCGACCTTAACCCTCGTATCACTGTCTCTATCGACTCCCCACCACTGGCCTCCTCCAACTCGAGCCAGAAGCTTCCCGACTCTGAGGTGGTGGTGAACCATGACTCCGTCGGCATGTCCATGGCAGCAGAGTTGGTTGTCTTGAATATTTTGCTGCCGGCAGCAGAGTTGCTGCCGGCTCGGAAAGAGAGGGTTTTAGGGTTTCCACAAGACAGCCATGGCCATGAAGCTGTTGCTTCTGTGGTCTTGAAGCGAAATGGAAGCTTCATTTTCTTCACCAATTTTTTTTTTGGGAGAAATATGGATTGAATGGTATATTGCTTCTTCTATTCTTTTGGGTTGCGAATGTGAGTTGTTATTGAGACATTAATGGACAGTCAGAAGCTGAGAAGGAGATTCTGAAGGAGTGGTAGTGACAGTGAGAGAGAGAGAGAGAAGGTGGATCAAAAAGAGGGGACTGGTGGGATCTTTCTTATGTATATTCATACACATATATTGATATATACATATATGTGTGTATGTATGTGCCTATTTATTATTTAGAAGGCCATAGAAGTAAATGTAGGTTGGTAGAGCCAATTGAATATAACAGTACCTTGTCAAGCAGTCACTTTACCTTTCAAGTTTTTGAAATGAGTAACGTTACATACAAATTTTTTGTAATATTTTTTTTTCTTTTTATCTAATAGTGTTACTGTGATGATTTCATTTTCAACCAAAACCTTCTTGATTATATCTCATAATTTCATAAATATTACTTATGTATAATTTTGGATGAATTTTCTCTATAAATTTTATTTTATTTCTTAAAAATTTTTATCAACTTAATTTTCTTAAAGAAAAATTTTATCGAGAATGAAAAGTAATGGTTTCTAGGTAACTATAAATTAAAGTGATGCATTGCTGTCTTAAAAATAATAAGACCACAATGCGTCATATTGTTATGAACAAAAAAATAATATGAAAATGAATAAATTATATCAATAGTCTTTATATTTTGTCTCTCGTGTCATTTTGATCTCTACACTTTTTATTAACTCAATTTTAACCCTTGATTTTAAATTTTGTGTCAATTTGGCCCACTTGATAACGCTGTTATTATTTTTCATGAAAAATTATCACTAAATTAGTTGATCTTAACTTACCGAGTTGAACAAATTTATAATTTTGCGTTGAAAAGTATGACATATTTCACTTAAGTGCATATTTTTATTAAAAAATACTAACAATTGTAAGCAATTGGAATTGAGCCAAAATCAAATTTAAGGTTAAAATCAAACTAATTAAAATTATAGAGACTGAAATGACATAAAGACCAAAATATAAGAATTATTAGCGTAATTTGCCTTATGAAAATTTTTGTCTATATAACAATACTCTTAAGCATTGTTCCACATGTGTCTTAATAACTAAAAGAAAAATTTATAATTTTTTTTTTTGGTTTTTATGAGAATAACATGGCAATGGCGTTTTTCATTTTAATTCAACAATGTCATTATGTACAATTTATTTATTTATTTATTTATTTACTTATATATATCAGCCATTATGTACAAATTTTTATAGTTTTTAGCGTCATTTTAACCAGAAACAACTTGCCTTTTCTAATAAAAATTTGCAAATATATGAATATATATACATTTTAGCCACTAAGTTTATTATATTCATATTTGCACACTTTTTAATAGAGTGTTGCTATTTATACATGTCTTTGTATTTTGCATCTTCTATTTCTTTGTTCTCTAACTTTTCAAAATTGCTCCTTACCTATATTTTTTCGGACCCCTACCATATTTTCAACTTTACCCTCTTTCTTTGCACCCTTATCCTTTTCTTCTTTCCTTCTTCGACAACAACCACTCTCATGCTGCCGTCACTTTCTCTGGTCACCTATTCCACCATCACCCACCACCCCAACCCCTCTCTACCATCTCCTTCACACCTTTTCGCCACCGAAGTAATATCTCTAGTGACTTTTCTGAATCCTCCATTCGCAACCTTCGCCTCCCTTTGCAAACTACCCATATCTGGTTTTGCAATCTATGACTGAACCACTACCATTTGTTCGATGGTATATGTCCGAACTACTGCCATTTGTTTAGTGGTCCTAATTGCCCAAATCTGGTTCAGTAGTTTATGACCGAACCACCACCATTTGTTTGGTGATATATGTTCAAACTAACATCGTTTGTGTGGCACTAGTTTTCCGAACAAGGCGTAACACTTTCAATCTCTCTCTATTTGTATCCATTTCGTTGTCAATCTCTCTTTGTTCCAGTCTAAGGTCGTAAGGGATAGGTAATGCGATTGCAATTGTAATTGTAACAACCTCGATCCATGATTAATGTTAATCTATGCTTAATTATGCCTAATAAGAAATTAAAGTGAAGTTTTGCATCATATGTTGCCTTATTTGTGTTTACATCTGTTTAGCGTAAGAATATCTGTTTCTGTTTTGGTTTGTGTATTGAAGGCCTTGTCGGCATCTGATTCAGAAATTGACTTGCTATACGTGTTATTTAGAATTTTTAGAATTTTATGGTAGGTTCAATTGAAATTCGATTCGGAACAAATAAAGTAGAATAAAATAATTCCACTTAGTTACTTTGACTTAAACTAATTAAGCTTTATTAGTTGAGCCTATATAAGGCCTCCACTCTACCTAGACTCATCTTTTCTTCATCATTTTGGGACAAAATGTGAGGGAGAAGAGAGGGAGTGATGAGAAGCTTAAACTCAAGGGAGGAAAGCTAACAAAAGGTGGTCAAATTTCCATTTGCAAAAAATAGTTTCTGAGGATTTTTACTGAGGTTGACTAATTCTCTCGAAAATTACTCTATTTTTTTTTTCTTCCAAAACTGGACCATATCTTGGACCCAAAAAGAAAAATTCTCAGTGCTCATAGTCTGACTTGTATGATTTCAAATCAAAAAATCGAACAAGTATGTTAATCTAACTCTTATATTGATCAAAATTATTTTAGTAGAAAGCCAAAACAAAAAAAAATGGTCAAAATGATGAACTAGGGGCACAGTCGAGTCAGGTTTTCTGTCTTTTCCCCTTGTCACCATACTTGCCAGAAAGGGCACCTTGTTCGCCAGAAAGGGCACAACTAAAGCTAACAGCAAAGGGCCAAAAGCTCTCACATCCTCTAAGCAGCGAGGTATCAAGCTAAGTGCGAAGCACGAACTGGAACTGGAGGGGGATATGCAGTTCCTTTATCTAGACAATCACATCCAAATTAGCGTCTGACCCGAAATGGGGACGTAGAAAATGCAATGTGGAAGACCAATCAACTGCATGCCTGGCCGGTGGGACATGCTATAACTCACCTCGATCAAGCTAAGCCAGGGACATCGTCAAACGATGTCAGTTGCAGATCTGCTGCGCATCTGGTTGCACCGCAACCCCTCTGTGGGAGAACTCACTAGATGTGAGTGAAAAAATGAGAATTTAGTAGAATACTAGGGACAAGAGCCCACAATTTCCTGCATATCCATCAACTACCCAGGGGAGGGATAAAAAAGAAGAGAGATTAAAGAATAGAGAGATGTGCGTTGAGAGGAAAAAGTGAGAAAAGGGCTTTTTCAAAAAACTAGAGATTGAGTGCCAGAGTGATGTGAGAATCACAAATAATAAAGGGTAGGAAACAATACTCGGAGAAACTGGCCCCTCGTGAACTGAGAAGTCTCTCACCATTATAACACATCCGAGTGTTGTGTTTGTTGTTTTTGTTTGTCTTGATTCTTGTTTTGAGTCGTTTAGTGTGTTTGTGTTGTTTTTACCCTTTGTTTTCCTTTGATTGAGTCATTTTGACTGTGGTCAGTTGTAGGCCCAATACCTGGTTGAGAACTCTTTCTCAATTTCAAATTCAAAAATAAATCGTTTTGTGCTCAGAGTGCTGTGCTATTCCCCATATTTGTACAAAACAGGATCCTTTCTTTCATGAACTGCAAGGTTCAACCCAAGTCATGTGAGAACAATAGAACCAAGACATATCTGAAGCTATATAGGTTCCGGACTGCAAAGCAAAAGAAAAAAGGAAAAATTTGGAGCATCTTAGTGTGTTTCAACTTCGGCAAATTCCGAGACTACATTCCAGGTGCATCTTCTCAAGCCTCTCCATTTCTCTGGAGTATGAGTGTATCTCGACCCCAAGTTCAAGCCTGCTTCAAGTCAGAATGGCAATTAAAGCAGCATGCAGATGTTACCCCTCGCCAATATGAATATGGTGTGTCCCTTTTGAGCTGAGCATATTGCAAAGTCCTCTGAGAGGTAAATTGGAGGCACCAAAGTACATATTTGATGCCCCTCTCTTGAATAGAACGTGCATTTTTATATGCACTTCTGTTGCATGCGTGTCGCACATCGTTTATGATTCTTGCATAGAATATGCTTTTAATGTTGTATAGAATATGTCTGTCTCTTGCATAGAATATGCTTTCAATATTGCATAGAATATGCTTTCAGTGTTACATAGAATATGATCTTGTCATCTTGAATCGAACATGCTTTCAATCAACATCTTGCATCTATCGCACAATGATGTCACTCAGTGCATCTATTTCATAATTCGTGTATCACTCATGCTTTCTTGCGCATCGCACTGTTTTGTGCAGTTCACACTCGTCCTGTTTAGCGTATCGCACTGTTTAGTGCATTTCAAAATCATTTGCGCTGTTTAGCGCATCGCACTGTTTAGTGCATTTCAAATCACTCGCGCTTTCTTGCGCAGTGCACTTTCTTGTGCAATTTACACTCGCGCTTTCTTACGCAACGCACTGTTTTGTGCAGTTTACAATCGCGCTTTCTTGTGCACCTTTCTCCACTCGCATGTCGCATGTTTGGATGCTTCTCGCACTTTCTTGCGCACCTTACTTGTACTTGTTAGTGCATTGCTCGTGCTTTTTTGCGCATCGCACTGCTTTGTGCAATTTACACTCGCGCTTTCTTGCGCATCGCACTGTGTTGTGCAGTTTACACTCGCGCTTTCTTGCGCATCGCACTATCTTGTGCATTTCATTACATGCTCTCATCTTGCATAGAAAATGCTTGTAGTACTTGTTAGTGTATTGCATCGCGCTATCTTGCGCTTACCTGCACTTGTTAGTGCATTGCATCGCGCTATCTTGCGCACCTTACCTGCACTTGTTAGTGCATTGCATTGCACTGTCTTGTGCACCTGTATAGCACTGTTTTGTGCATTCACTCTTGCATCGCACCGTTTTGTGCATTTAATTCACATCGCACTGTCTTGTGCACCTGTATAGCACTGTTTTGTGCATCTTGTTAGCACTGTCTTGTGCATTTCAACCTACATCGCACTATTTTGTGCATCTTCTTAGCACTGTTTTGTGCATTCACTCTACATCGCACTGTCTTGTGCACATTGTATTTTTGTATCACTTGCACTGTCTTGTGCACTCTCTGGTCTAGGAGACCTTAAATCCTTTAAAGGTGCAAATCCTTTGGTATTT